ACCAGTCACAAGACCAGTCACCAGTAGCAGGATGAACAGTGACAAGGGAAAGCTCTTATTGCAGTTCATTTAAATGGCTTGTGACATTAATTCAGACAGGAAGTCTTATGATTGTCTTGCGAGTTTGTGTACTAGTTCTGAAGGGGTCTTGACTGCAAGACTCAAAACCTTCCAAAGTAGATTTTGTAACTAAATGCAGTTTATCACAAAACCAGTATCAGGTGATTCGGTAGTCTAAATAACTTTGATTTGGGGACTTCTGGGTTGAAAACTCAATGATATAACGTGTTATTGTACACCGACTGTGTGAATAGCATGTGTGAAATCATTGAACGCACTGACATACACTCACAGCCTAGACGTCTGTATTTATCTCCAGCATGTCGGAGGCAAGCTCTTCTTTGATAAAAGAGACGATCCGGAATTTGGTGAGTATGCCACTGTATTAAACCTAATGAAACAAAACTCATCTGCTTGAAGATAACCTTGAAGACATGTCTCATTTGCGGCTGTGACGTTTGCAGTAAAGTAGCCTTGGCACAGTGTCATTGCAGAGTCTACTTTCGACTTTGATGTCTTTCTGAGCGTAACAGCTACAAAGTGACATTGTAGTGGGTTGGTTTACCTCCAGATTTGCTGACGGTGAACGAGACCGCCATCGAGACCCCTCAGGACGAGGGTAACCACATGAACTCTCCCCGCAACCTGGCCCTGGAAGCTACCTTCATCAACCACAACTTCTCCCAGCAGTGTCTGAAAAAGGTCGGTGCTGCGTCCTGAAGCCCTTCACAGTCTGAAGAGGGCCCAATTTCATGGCGCTGCTTACCGCAGGATTCCGCGCTTACAATTTCCATTCTGTGCTAACCACACTAGCAGAAAAATTCTGCGCTAACCTTTTAAGCGCAGAATCCTTAGTTACGGGATGTATGCATGCGCACAGGCCAAAATTCCTTGCTAACCCTTGAAATACGTTCACCATAAGCACAGAATTTTCTGCTACAGTAAGCACCGATTTTTGCTTGCGGTAAGCAGCACCATGAAATTGGGCCCAGGTCCTGCAGCTGATGTCACTAGTCTCAGCGTAACATTTTCACCACTCTTTAAGCCCTACGCCACAACGTAGCTGTGCAGTGTACTTAACCATAGATTTTCACATCTTGGATGAGGACATTGGCAGCTTTTCTGTTCATTTACGGTATTACTGCAGTCGATAATGGTCGAATCAAGTTGTTGAATTAAGAGAGATTTATGCTTTGCAAGGAAATACTGAGTAGTATTGTCAGCTCTGCTTTAGTTTTAATTCAGATCTTACAGTAATTAATTTAATCTGTTTGCACCTGCTGATGATGAACCAAAGTTATCCCTGGCTGATCATTCCAAAGAATGTGTGGATAACAGTATTGTTCTGAGGTTGGTATGGTTTCAGCTCCGAATGACAAGTAAGCCCATATTGTGCTTTCACAACATGTGCCGATTTCCATGGGGCTCATTAGCTTAGTACGCCTGATGCTAACTTTGACCATTCATGGCATGCGATTGTAAACTTCAGTATGTATGTTTCTACAACCAGTCATGGACAGTGACCAGTTAAAGGACAGTAGGCCCCCTATTGGAAAATCCTTTACAAATGCATTTTGACAATGTTTTTGTCTTCTTTGTGGGAGCCCTGTAGCAACTATCAAGGTTCTCTCACAGCCAACAAATGATGTCATTACCTCAAAAAACACCTAGCTGTGCATTTCTCCAGATTTTAGGATTTTTGACTCACAAATTCGGAATTTTCAGAGAATAGAGTCATTCAGGTTTCGGTGCTTTTTTACATATTTTGCAAAAAACGGATTGCAAGATTCACTTTATCATTGCCATTTGGGAAAGAATCCATTGCCATTTGGGAAAGAATCCATACCTTGTAGGTTAGATGAAAGCTGTGGAAAAAATGTAGTGTTGTTTGGCAGTTTGTTGGTTGGTCAGTCTGTCAGACATTCTGGTTGTCAGTATGGAGGTCAACATGTTAAAAAAGGATGTTACAAAATGAATTAAGGGTTTGGAATGTGTTATTTCATGCGAATTAATGTTTGTTGTTTCAAACAGAATGGCGAAAAGTATAAATTTGACAAACCCAACCCATTCCAAGAAGACGATGACTCAGAGGTGGCCTCTGTTGGATATAGGTAAGATCTACGTCATGCCATAGAGCTCCATTACTGCAGCGCTAACTCGCCGTGCGATAGGAATCCAGATGTGCACATTCATGTTTGTGCACAAACCTTTTGCAAATTTATGTAAGGCATTTGTACAGCAATTTGCATTTATAACACCTCACCCACAGATTCTGTCTCTTGATTGGCCGAAAGCGTGTCATGTGACGCTTGCTAGTTTTACTATTTTATACCACTGCTTCAAAAAGACTATACCATGCAGCCTCATTCTGAAAGAGAACTATACCAGTAGAAACCAAAGAACTATATCCGTAGCAACGAAAGCATAGGCGTGTATTTCGGCTCATAGCGAACAACGTTGGTTAATGAATGTATTCAAACGTTGCCGTTCCGTTTGGAATTCTTGAATTAAATTTGATGACTGTAAATTCCAGTTTGGTGTTTCATTATTGATTTTGAGCGTAAATTTTGCAGAATCTGTGGGGAGGTGTTATAAAACAAATATTGACTGCTTTATCTCGTGGTACAGTAAAACTAGCCTCCCGAGGTGATCCATGAAACATTCTAGTTTCCTGAGGCAAACTATACCACTCGAAGGAGTCAATATTTGTGTAATGTGTATCTATGTTCTGAAACAGTGCATCATCAAGGCCGATATATGCCAAAAGGACTACTAAAATATCGTGCATTGTGTAAGCCTTTTGACTTGTTCACGTCAGATTTTTCAGATCATGTCAGATTTTTGCTCTAGTCATCAACTCGCTTAGAAATATCTTCTGCTTAGAAGTTTATGGAGATTGGACCCAGTACTCACACAGTGTCTGTAGGGACTATAGATGATATTTTGTTTACTTCTTGCAATCATTTTTCTCCTGTTGACGTTCAGGTACCGAAAGTTCAACATCGGGGACGACCTTGACCTCATTGTACGGTGCGAGCACGACGCTGTCATGATGGGTTCTGGTGGGGAGACACAATTTATCAGCATCAAGACGCTCAACGAGTGGGACTCAAAGGTATGAGCAAACAGAATGGCTTTGTGTCGAAAATTAAGACTAGAACTTGGTGGAAAATGTGCATTGTCAACATTGGCTTGGAATCTGTAGAGAAATTGACAATGTTCACATTCTGTCGAGACAAAAATTTGGATTTCCAGGAAACTGCCTTTAAAATGTGGTGGCAAGTTCAAATCATTTAAGGTAAAAGTTGTCTAAAAATTGGCTTTTAAATTTCATCAATAATGGCTGTTATTTTTTCAAACGGAGAGTGTTGTGTTGTGAGGAATATCTGTGAGTGAGGTTGCAGTGGACTGACCTCCCTCTTTTCAGTTTTAATTATTTTCATTCAGAAGACTAGTGTCTCTTTCACACCCGTAAATTCAATTTCTTTTCATTTATAAAATAATAGAACGACTCATGATGTGCAGATGTATTTATGTGGCATTCTTCCATTTACCTGACACCGTTGCCGTGCTTTAGGTCATTTTACTACATGGTGGACTTGACTGTAAATTTGTCATTCTTTGTTTCAGCAACTTGGCATCGCAGAGTGGCGTCAGAAGCTAGACTCCCAGCGTGGAGCCGTGCTGGCCACAGAGCTGAAGAACAACAGCTTCAAACTGTCCAAGTGGACGGTGTGCGCTCTCCTCAGTGGCTCAGACCAGATCAAATTCGGGTGAGTTCCAATAAAGCAACTTCCCCCTTTGGCTTCAGCAAGTTTATACTATGCCTACTTCAGTGTGTTTAGAACTGCCAACCGTATCCTATGGCCGTAGTACTTGTACTCGGCTTCAACACAGAATTTTCTTAACCCTAACCCCCCAAGGGTTGCTGGCCCTAACCTTCCCCTTTCACACAAAGTTAAACACCTATATGGGACTTTGTGCACAGAGGCTGTTGGATTTTGTTTTTCTGAGGTATGCCAAACCCAATGCAAAAGCCAGCTGTTATGGGCCTACCAGACCTATCCCCACAGAATTAAACACTTTACTACTGTTTAATTTTGTGTGGTTGGGGAAGGTTAGGGTTAAGGGAAAACCAGAACAAATTGGTTTTCAATATTTTCCTTCACAACAGTGGACGTTGGTCCAGCTGATTCCCTTGTAATTTTTCCGCTTTATATCATTTCAAAAGAGAAAATCAACCGCACATGAACAAGATCTTCCCACTAGAGCTGCTTTTTCAGTTGTTAAGTTCTTAATTTGACCTGAATGATTGCCTTTAAATTTCAAACTTATGAGTTTCAGCATTTGTATCTCTGGGTGACTAAGATGACAGTCAACTCTCCTGTGTTCATTTCTCAGCTACGTTTCCCGGCTGAACCCGCGAGACTCCTCCAAGCACGTCATCCTGGGCTCGCAGCAGTTCAAGCCGGTGGAGTTGGCCTCTCAGATCACGCTGAACATGGAGAACTGCTGGGGCATCCTACGCTGCATAGTGGACAAGTGCTTCAAGCTCAAGGAGGGCAAGTACCTCATCCTGAAGGACCCCATGAAGGTAGACCAACCTCTTCTCCCTGTCTCTTTTTTTCCCCCTCCAAAAGTGTGGATTTGGGTTATTTTCCTCGTTTTAAATTGTTGCGTTAGTGCTAAGATCTATGGAAGTGTTTCCATATTTTTAAATAGTTAAACAGAACAGTTAGTTCTGCCAACACTGGTCATCATCAGCTGTAAATAGTATTTGGGGTGTCACGATCTCATGCTAGTGTTGTAAATAGCCCTTTTAAGAAGGAAACTAGCAAGGAACAGCTCAGGGGAGTCAGGTTGGTGTAGTGGCTCACCTTCCACCTCTGCGACCCGGGTTCGAATCCCACCTAGATCAGCATGTGGATTGATTTTTCAGTTCCTGCCTGACTCCATGGGTTTTCCCCGGAATATTCATCCTGGGTTTTCCTTCCACCTCTAAAAGTGAACATTTCTTCATTGTCTTCTTATCTGTCACTTCATCCTGTAGGTGGCGCTAAATGCACTGTTGGATGAACAGATTTAAATAAATAAACAAGTCAGTGCCTCTGTCTTGAATGCTGTTTTTCTCGGGCACAGAGCGATCACGTGACAGGGCAACATAACCGCATGTCACACACATCATTAGACAGCAGCCAGGGTTGTGTGATATCACTGCGCATGCACACACGCACCCCTGCATTGCACAGGATATTGCAGGGACCGTTAACTTCTACTGGTCAACGATTCTTAGGCACCCTTCACTTCCCTCAGAAAAAGAAGTAAAAAACATCAAGACGGAGATGTAACAAAATACCTAGTGTCCCACATCACAGCAGTCAGTTATCAACTATGAGTTGCACTAATAAACACGTTTATTTTCAACCGTTGTCCCAGCCGGTGGTTCGCATCTACGACATCCCGGACAACACCTTCAGCTCCGATGAGGAAGCTGAAGAGACGTCCTCGGAAGAGGATGAAGATGATGATAATGGTGAGGACCCCAATTAAATTGCACTGCAGCCCTCGTAATGCACGCACACAAACAGTTTTGAGTTCACAGTCTGCGATATTTGGGATTTGAAACATTTGAAGTGTGGACAGAAACTGCATTTGAAACAAGTTATGGGTGGACAATTCAGCGCCGGACTCAGCAATGCCCTGTTCTTGAGGAATTGGTATAAGAAAGTCTCTTGCTTGCCTGCTTGGGTGCCTATCACTGATGATTAAAAGTTATCCCTGTCCTATGTGTATCTGAGGACATTGGAACTCCTGAGATGGGCACAGATGTATACTTCCCTCTGGTGAAATTGAACAGCATTAAAACATTCACTTTTGACAATCTCAATCACAATGCTTTCCCATTTATTTTCATCTGTAGATGAAGAGGCATAAAGTCTAAAGAAATTCCATGGAGATACTCGTCGGGGATCTTCAAGTCGTCACCAGGTCTTGCAAATCAAATCTCTGCACAACACAAACTTTATCCTCTCGTATTGAGTTCCCAAGTCTCATTTTGCCTTTGCTCCGGTAACTCTAGTTACCTTTCCATGCAAGCCTCAAAATGAATTTTGAAATTGTAAAATGTGTGTCAGGGCAGTCCGGCAAGCTTTTATTGTAATCAAGTAGAAAGCAAATTGTATTTCTGTAGAGCAGGTCAATATTCTCAACTAAACAGTGGTACGATAAACGTTTCTTCATCAGAGCATACAGAGGCATCCTGAATCAAGATTTTCCTTTAAGAGACCGTCACAGGTAGACAGCAGTGTTTTGTATGACATCTGTGGCCCAGTTTAATATTTATTTCATCGAGATACGAAGCTGTTTCAGTTTTTATCACTTTCGTCAATGATGTATGAGACTGCTATTAGATTGTTCAGATTAGGAAGGTTGCAGTCCAGCAGTTCAGTTCAGTCAGCCTGTCCCTTACTTTCCCTTTTATAAACCCACTCCACTTTGCGAAGTTGTAATTTTGTTCCAGTCCCTTAAAACCATCAGGAGTCATGTATTGTTATTGAAAAGGGCTAGACATTTCCAAGGAAAAAGCAAAGTCTAAGAGAATTGTTTTAAACGAGTGGATTCGGCTTCAACTTTGGTTATGTTGGTTCCAGTCAGAGTTTGAACATATGGTTTCGAACACTGCTTCAAAATGGCTGGAACCAGCGAAACCAAAGTCTAAGTGGAATCCATTCATTCAAAAAACGCTCTGTGACAGTGGAAGCAGAGGTCATAACCTGTCTTGTAATAAGCCATGTGCGAGTTAAATTTGAATAAAATCTGGTACACCGAGTTATTTGATTTCACACAAACGTAAAAACTTTAATTCCCCAGACTAAAGACGCTGTTGCTATACCTCGTGATTTGGGGCATCTCTGGAATGGACTGGTTCCTTTGTGCCCTTCTTATCCATTGGGAATAGTGTATTGTTGCAAGGCATCTCTTATGTAACTAAGTAAAAGCTTGGGCCGAATCACGAGGTATAGGAAGTGTTTTTAATAAGGAGAATTATTATGTTTACGTGAATTTAAAGAATTCAGTGTACCAGATTTTATTCAAAGGTCACTCGCAAAAGGCTTATTGGAAGGACCGAGTTCAATAAATGCCACTTACATATCAAATTCTTCTTTTGTCTCAGTTTTTTTCTGTCCACAAGAAACTTCCAACAGCAGGATACTTGACATATTTGAATACGTCAGTAAAATCTGTTTTACATAAACTCTTTTGTGCTTTATACAAATCAACTTAAATATAAAACTTGTATAGGATCTTTCATATCTTTACATGATCTGTTCAACTCGATACTTTTTCTCCTAAAAAGTAACTGACCTTTACTTAAAACTGTTCCTGTATATCTGAAAAATATTAAACATGATTGTTAGAAAAATGGAAAAACTTGAAATACTTGGACATCTTGTAAATGAAGTGAATGATTTTCACAATGATTGACTCTATCAAAAATACAAAACTAAATCACTTTTACACACAGTCATAATCTCCGTGACTTTGTAATTTGTAAGTGTAACACAATCACCAAGAACTTTATAGTACTCAACAGTTTTCTGGTGACATCTTTTCCACCAAAGAAGCAGACTGTATCCTTTTGTGTCCATTGCCAAATTTGAACAACTAAAACAACTGAATGTTCATTATTAGTAGCCCTGAACTTGTTCCAATGTTAAACAAATACGATAAACAATTAAATTTTCACGTCCTCAATACAAAAATGGTTCTTTTTCATGAAGCTTTAGATCTAAAAATTATTTGGCTCTTAAGAAAGACCAACTTTTTCAAAAGCAACCCAACCACCAGTATGTTTCAAACAAGTCGGTGAAATATCACAATGAAAGAAACGTGAACGTAAGTGCTCAACTCTGTTACTTGTCACCTCTTTTGCCCCGCTTTGTGCTGTCGCTGCTACCATTGTCAGCGGCCTTTCGTTTCTCGCCTGCATTCAGCTGGTCAAGGAGGCTGGGCTGTAGTTTGCTGGCCATGCAGTGGGTCCAAAGTGCCAGCTCTACTCTGTGGGGTGTCCACTGCCTGGATGGATCTGACAAGAGACAAGGCAACAGGAATAATATGCTCAACAGACTCGGACAATGAATAGATATTGGATTTTTTCCAAAAGTAGATAAAGGTAAAAGCTAAGAATGCGATTATATTCAGGGCAATTTGTTTTGTCGCTTTGTTTGACACCAGGTTTTTAGTATTGTGTGTTGAGTTCAAGTGATGGTGATCTTCACAAGAATGGCGTAACACCACGGCATACTGTGGGCAAAATCATACAGTGTATTACCTGTGGACAAAATGCTGGCATTTCTCACCACCACCTCCAAATAATATGTTTTGTCCTCTGTACATGTATAATGAACCGTAGTGAGAAACTAACAGCAAGGTATGAGATGGAAAGAACCCCCCCCCTGCTTTGTGTTGGTCATTGTCTCGCAGGAATC